GGAGCACCTCAAACTCCACGACTGACCGTTTACTCCAAACCTGCTGTCATTGCTGCCTCCTCTCCCCGTGACTCCTCTGTAAGTCACTGAAACGTGAACCTCTCCGCTCCACTCAACCTCCCAGTAACAGCGACCAGTCAGACCATTTGTACACAGCAGCTGAAGCCAGTACTCAAACCTCTCTGGGTGATCGGGATAAGGCTGCTCCTCCGTTACCGCCGTCACTCTTCTGTTGTTGTCGGACAGTTTAAGTTTTCTGTGCACTGAGTTTGTGTCCAGTTTAAGATCGCGGGAATCTGACGGAGAGAAGAAGAAACAACAACAGCGGTTTATCACCTGAAGACTTCATCTGCTGCCTCATCCACAGACTGATGGAGACAGCTTCACAGTGATTCATCTTCTAGAATCTTTAGTGTGATTTAAACTAGTGTAATGCGTGCTGTCTTATTTTCATAAATATAAGTGAGCACACACTCACACTTCCTCAGACCAGGTTTCAGCCTCTGCTCTCCACCATGGTCCAGCCTGAAGGAAGAAACATATCTGAATTCATCTTGAAAGCAGAGACAAAGAGACACATGGACATAAAAGAAAGACATGAAAGGCCTTAAAATGCTTCTACTCATTTAAAAGGCTTTCAAATTGCAACTCTGCTGTGTAGTACCAACAGCCATGGGTAACCCTGGATCCAGAGACGCTGAGACAGGAACATGGAAACTAGTTAATGGTATGAAAATATATGAAACATCCAGAATATCAATACATGTTTCTGATCCTCGAACATCATGGAAAATCAAGATCAATGAGCTCCTGGCCTCTGCTCTATGGGAGCTTTCTGTCTGTCCTGAGCTCGTGTTAGTACTCCTACGTTACACTTTAACAGGTGTACTGTCCCAGTGTCCACCTTCTACTGAAACCAGAACAGAATGATGAAGGGAGAGGCTGAGGTTTCACGGTTCACCAAGAAACTGGACTGAAGTGCAGGAGATTGGAAAAAAGATTCACAACTTTTTGAGTTGGCAGAAGAAAACACAGGAATTTTTCAGGTGATCTCACTCGATAGGAGGGCTGATCTTCTGAGACAGCAGAGAGGAATGTCCACGGGGCGAGGTGAGGAAAGTACAAAGAACCAGGAGAACATGTGACACATCTAACAAACGAGGTGAATTGCTATTTTGTTGGTGATGGTTTAGATTAGAGCATTTTTGTCAGAGAAATACTCCTCCCTGAAGTCGGATTGATTGATGATCAGATTAATGTTTCAGGTGAGATTTACTCACAACACATATTTTAACTTCTACTGTGTTAAGAGAATACTGCTGTTAAAAAGCACGATATTTGTTTAAAAGCTTTAAAACTGAATACCACACTTCTCATACAGCAGCACTTTTAAAATAAGCATGTAATAAACTAATATAATATGTAACATGTAACAATGTGATCAATTGATGACGATAATTAATAAATACTGAAACTATCATACCTAAGATTGTTCAGTCTCCAACGTGGATCATCCAGTAAGCTAGACAGCAGCTTCATGCCTGAGTCTCCTGGATGATTGTAGCTCAGATCTAGCTCTCTCAAATGGGAGGGGTTGGAGTTCAGAGCTAATACCAGAGAAGTACAACCATCCTGAGTGATCAGACAGCCTGAGAGCCTGAGGACAAACACAAAGATATAAAACATAAAGCAAAGAGAATTATGCATATAATTTTATTTTATTTTGATATAAATCTTTAAGCTTGGTTCCAAAAAAATATGCTTTTATTTTTTCAGAGATACTGATTCACTCTATGGCACATGGATTCTTTACTGAACCATTGTTTCCAGAAAATGTATTGAATCACACAGATCTATAATACTTGAGGAAGCTGGATTTGAGAGCACT